GATTTTTACTTTGATAACAAATGTATATCTTAAGGGAATAACATAATAAAATCCTAAATGTCTCTCACTGAAGTTAAATATTTACCAAGATCATACTTAACCACACTTGCTTCTGTCCTTTTTTGAAATGTTTTACGGCAAATCCCATAGTGTTTTGTCCCTACCTACCCATATGTGCTTCATTATAACTCTATTTAAAAATGTGGACTTTATTTTTTAGATAACTGTGACCTACTTTAATACCTAAGATAATTAATAATTCCCTAACATCTTCAGGTATCTACTCTCCTGGTTCCCAGACTGTACCCCAGGGCAGTACATCAAAGTTACAGGGACACCAGGAGATATTTTAAGTTTCAAAGGAAATAGTGAAACTTGGCATCTGTTGGACACCACATAACTATTCAAAGGTGAAAGTGAATGTTAAGTCCCACCTAGCATTAGTCTTAGTAACATTTGAAGTTACAGATTAGTGAAAAATTCGGTTTCTTAACTAGCCAGTAATAAGGCTTATTGTTACTATGTTGGAGCGTACAGATGAGGAACATTCCATTCACTTCAGGAATATTCTTGAGTACAGTTCTTTTTCTCCTCAAATTCCATATAATGGAAAGGAAATAGGAACTAGTTGAGAGCCATTAAACTTGAATTACTTGTATCAGATGAACAGAAGAACGTTTGATTGCTTTGTTTAAGTAAAAGCATTTTGATTGCTTTGTTTTAGTAAAAGGAAAATTTTTATTTATATTGATAGTTGTGAAACTTAAGCATTTCTAATATTCATGGTCTTTAAATATTTGAACCAAAGTTAATTTCATGCTGCAGATTAGTAACTACATTTTATAGTCATTATTTAGTGGGTATACTGTGTACTTCATATTGTCATTTTATTCTCACAGTAATCTGAGAAAATAATAAGGCAGATAAATTTTTATAAAGGAGATAACTGAAAATATTAGATAAGGAATCATGAATAATAGGCTTACTCATTTATACATTTTTTCTTTTTCTCTTAAATTCTTTGTTGGTACATTTTAGTACACAGTACATTTATATTTATCATTGAGAACTTGTACCATTACATCATGTATCTTGGTTCTTATTTTTTCCCCTTTCCTCTTCTCTCCCTTCAGCCCCTCCACCTTCCCTGCCTGCTTGAAATTTTCATAGACCAGAAGCTTTACTTTGAATGTTTATTTTAACACTTAAATTGTTAATTATTTTGGAAGCATTTCGGTAAAGGCACAGGATGGTAGAGGTAGTATATTTTCTACTGAGTTTCAAGTTTGTCACTTTGTATATTTAGAGAACTTGTTCTTGACATGGTGTGAATATTGTAGCCCAAAAATCAACTTTGTCAAGTTTTATGTTTATTTATCTAATTGGAAAGTCAAAACCCATAAATAATTTTAGATTTCCATTACATTAATGATTTTATAGGCTTCGTAATTTGAAAATAATATCATGTCTTTCAAAAAATCAGGATTTAGTGGCTGGGGATTTAGCTCAGTGGTGCTGCTTTCAGCCTCACAAACAAAAGGTCCTGAGTTCGATCCTGGTACTAAAAAAAGAGTCTTTCAAAGAAAACTCGGGATTTGTTAAGTATATATATCAACTCCTCAGAATGACTGGAATCATTTTGTACCATAAACATGTACTAATAAGGGAAGAGGTCAGTGTGATCCAGTCTTCAACCAGACACATCTGTAGTCTTTAAAGACATTCATTTTCCATTGGCTTCTTTTCATGGAACCTAGTAATTTTTAAAAAATACGTTAGCATTATATTTCTAATCAGATATTTCTTTTAAATGCTGCATTTTTGTGTGCTTCGCAAAGAAATGTTTGATTTTGAAAAAAGCTAATGTACTATGGATTTATATGTGTGAATAAGTTGTATATAAGAGAAAAAGTTAAAAATTGTCTTAGTTACTTGCTAATTGCTAGACAAAATACCTGATAACCCACAAGTTAAAGGAGGAAGTGTTTTATTTTGGCTCACAGTTTATAGAAGTTTTAGTCTGTAGCTGGCTGATTTCAAGGTAGAGTAGCATAACAAAGTGGCTTGATGGAAGAGATACAGGTTGAGAAGGCATGTCAGATAGGTACCAGAGAGTAATCGAAAGAGGAAGAAGGGATATGTTCCCTTCCAAGCCATTCCCCCAGTGACCCAACTCCTCTAACTAGTTTAGCCTCCCAAATCACAGTTAGCTATGAACTCATAAGTGGGCCAACCACTGATAAGTGTCAAGCCCCCATGATCCAGTCACCTTCCAAAGCCCTACCTATGAGTGTGTGAGACTTTGGGGGTACATGTAGATATAAACCATAACATTAAGAAAAATAAATAAAGAAAAGCAAAGATATTGTAATATTATCCATGGTATCATTATCTAGGTAAATCCTTCAATCTGGTTTAGCTATCATTTTATTACTTTGTCACTACTTTTTCACACTTTAATTTTCACAAAGTTGTCATACTATAATATTGATTTAATCATTTCTAACAATTTTTAAAAAAATTTGTAAATCATTTTTCTGAATTTGTACCAATATCTGTTTTTTCTTATTTAGGATACTTCAGTTAGGTTCTTTGAAATTATTTCTTGCTATTTTTAATGATGTTATAGTAAAGATTTGCTTTACATATTAATTCATATATATATATGTTTCATTGGGGCATAATGGCAATTTTTAGTTAAAGGAGCATATGTAGGGAATACAAAACACATCTATTCTTTAGAAGTATATCTGTTGATGGATTATTAATTTTAATTTTATCAGTTTTATTATTAAACTGAATACTTGAAAAATATTAAAAATTAAGAATTAAAAATTAAGTATTATAAAAAAGCATTAGTTTTCAACAAGGACTGTTTTCTTTGTTTGCAAAGTCTAAAAAATAACAACAAATAATTCCAACGTGAACTACAGTGAAAATAGTGATAGAACTCTACAACAAAAACAATGTTTACTTCAGTTATCACACCTAAGGTATTCTTCACACAAGTCAGCAGCACGTTCCATATACTCTTCTGGCTTACACTGACAGCAAATGTCCTCTGCTTTCTTGTCTTCTTTGTAGAACATACTTGACATGTCATTGGTCTTGCTGTTTTGTCAGGATGCTCTTATTATATTACACAATATGAAGTTAACAGGAGCATAAAAATAAAGTATTCTTAATATGTATTGTGTGTTTAGAATAAACAGCAACATTTTCACATCAGTTGTGTACTTGCTTATAGAAACTAAAAGATAATATCAGAAATAAATACTTATGTGATCTACAATGTAAATACAAATAAAAGTCCACCACACCACAGAAATAATCTTTACTTCAATTGTCACACCCAAGGCAGTCTTCACACATGAAAACTGCATGTTCCGTGCACAGGTATCGTTTACATTGATAGCATTTATGTTCTGTTTTCCTGTCCTTTTTTGTAGGGCACAACTAATATCCTTTTTAGTTTTCCTGTCACAGTAGGTCTTTGTGATGTTGCACCTATTCTGTGACCTCACCAGTGTGCTCTACATTTTTTAGCATAGTTCTCTGGCCAAAAACATTTTTTTTTTTCGTTGTAAGTATCTCTTATGAGTTTCAGTCCCACTTCGCTCAGAACATTTTTCTGTGGTATTTTGTACTTGTAATTTTCTTTGTAAATATCGAACACTTCATGCCACACATGTTTAGGATCAAGTAAAACACAACCATTGGCCATTTGAGTAACAACCATTTGAGTAACATAGTTGTTGCATAACTAATTAACAACATTTACTCCTCTTTTGGTTTGTTATAAAAAGTTACCATCTTACCCTTCAGTTTCATCAAGAATTTTCTGTCAGTTTTTCCATCGTGGTACAATGTTGACATCGGTACCAGTTTCTTGTTGTTGTTGTTTGTTTTGTCAATTACGAGGCCAGTGTTAACATCTTTCTGAAATCCAGTGATTGTACTATACCATTCTCTGTTTTGAAGTTTCATTGGAATTTCTATTTCATTCTTGCATGCAATTCCTACCTGGTCAACTTATGCTATGTTAGTAAATGTAACATTAATCAAAAACTGACTGGTAAACCAATCGTCAAATGTCACATTCTGATTAGTTTAGGAGATGGGAGCAACAGGTCTGTTCACAACATCATTTGATTCATTGCTATACTAGTAAAGACCTGCTGGATGAATTCCAGGATAAATTTCTCAGTTGAAAGTATATGTCTTTCCATGTAACAGGACATGCATTTTTATACCATATTTTGAAGGCTTTTTTGGCATATACTGCCTAAAGCCTCAATAACCATATGGGTTTTCCTGTGCCATTGTAATGAATTGGGCTACTTCTACCAGAAAAATTAAAAAAAAACAAAAAAAACAAACAAAAAAAACTTTTTAAACACAAATCTTAAATGCAAGAAATTCAACAATGAGCGTTTCATGGGTAAAATTCACCTGTTACTGCTTTGGAGTTCCTGCACACCTTACCATTCATCTGCCAAGTGGGCGAATCAACAGATAGGTTCCTGGTTTCCTCAGACAGCTAATTGTGCCACACTCGGATTCCATTATGGCAAATTAGATGTTTGCAGAAGAGAAGAATGATAGTGGTGTATTTTACCCACCATGATGCTCAGCGATAAATATGTAATGCACGGAGCATTATGTGGGTAAAATTTCGATTTGTCACTTTTGCACAGGTGTACACACCTTGCCATTCATCACACCAACTGGGTGAACAGAAAGATTACTTTCTGTGTCCTTCAGGTGCAGCTCCTGAAGTACACAAAGGCTACCATTATGTTGAAGTATATAATTTCATTAGAAAAGTATGGAATGTGTTATGGTAACCCACAATAATGCCCATTAATTAAAATAAACTTCTAAAATTAAAATGTTTTATTCTTAGGATTTAAGATTATCCTATATTAGGTATTTTATACATATTATCATGTTAAAATATAACCATCTTAAAGTTGTATCTTACATCTGCTATGATAAATATGATAACCGTAGGACTTACAGTCCTAATTAATTCACTTTGTTTTGTATTTAAGAGTATGAAGATGGTGATCTGTCAGCATGGATCAGTAGGGAAAGGTTTCAGAATTATCTTACTATGGATGGCTTCCTCTTATATGAACTTGGAGACACAGGTAACGAGCTTATGTTCAACTCCTAATACTTTACAGAATTTTCTTTTGATTACTTAAATCTGTTTCTGTAGGAAATGGATCTTAAGCTTTTATTTCATTATTAAAGGAGGCACAGATTCTAGTTGTTCTTTATCAGGATAGAGAATGTTATTAACAAAAAATAATTGATGTATATGGGTCAAAGCTTAGCTGAAGAGAGAATTTACTAATAGAACTGATGGTGAGAAGGAAGGCAAGGAGCTTCAATAATAAGAGAAAGAGAAAAATTTGTGCACCCAAAAGCTATCCACTGATGGCTGATTTTGTAATAGGAATTGAAATTCAACCGCTCACAACATAATACCTGTTTTTACTCAGGAGTAAATTGAATCAATTGGTAGTTTCTTAAAGTTACATGATTAAAAATGCAGATATGAACATGATTATAAAAGAAGGTATAAGAAGTCAGTTATTCATCCCTGCAAATTGTAAAAGTTATGTCAGTGGTGGTGAATTTATGCTGCAGCAGGCATGAGTAGCCCTCTGTCTGCATGAAACAACAGCTGATCGTCAGATAACAGTTGTTTTCTAATTCGAAACTTTAGTATTCAGGTTTAATTTCAGTGTTGGCCTTTCAGATAAATGAGTTTGAGGCTGCCGTTTAGGCACTCAGCATCTAAAGGTTTGCCATCACTGTTATAAGCTAAGTTTTTGGAGGAAGTTTTATAAATTTAGAACCAAATCCTGATTATTATTGTCATGTTTATGTCCCTTTACAATGTTATTATAGTGGAATGGATGTATAGTTTTAGAGTAGAGGAAGGAAAACTATACGGACTGTAGTACTTTTATGACAAATAATGGACATAGGACATAGGGTTTCTTCTTCATGATTCTCTGCTTTTAAAACTTACAGCATAGACACATTAGAAATGTTCCTACATGTTTCCCTGTTAGTAAGAACTCTATCTTAGGATTTCATTAGTTCTGTTTCCTGAGCCTGCTTTTGGCATTCTGTGTGTGATGAGCTGAGTCGTCATTCCCTAGTGGAAGTTTCCACGGAACTATCAATGATTATGGAATTATTTTCTGATTATTTAAGGAAAGAAAAATGTAAAAACATGCAAGTTTTTTCTTTAGTGCATAACCGTAGGAGATGGCATAGCTTCAACATAACTGAAATAGTCATCTTAGGCAACACTCAGTTTCTTTTCCCAGATTAATTTGAAATCAGAAGTTTACTATTGCAGTATTCCTTTTGTTTCTGACATTAATTGCTCTTGCTGGCATTACCTGTGGCTGTGCCTTGCTCATTGCAAATCTGTGCCCTTTAGCAAGGATCACAGTGGTCTCCCAGCTCTCTGTCACAAGTAGTAACTTAGCAGCAGTTTTGTGACTATACATCCTTGCATGCTGTGACTGCTGCGTACGTATCCATCCTCATTTCTCTCTGGTCTCTCCTCTATGTTCTCCCTTCAGCTACACTGACCGTCAATTTATTTAAATGGCTGTACCATTTGTACCAAAGCACGTCTATATATTATTTTATCTTTGCCTGGAGGATGTTTTAAATTTATTTTCATTTAAACTCAGACCAAATAATGATTCCTTAGGGAAATCTTCACCAAACTCTTCAAACTACATTAACTTACTCTACTTACTCTTTTATAGCAGCATATTCCTTTCTTTTTCATTTTTTATTAGTACGTGTTTGCAGTACACACAGTTTCTAATCTGGGCAGTGGGTACATGTACATAATGCAACTTGTTTTGTTTTGTTTTAATTCGTCTCCTCTTTCCTCCTTCCTTTAAAACCCTTTTCTTCATACATCTTTCAGAACTCTTCTTGGTTAAAATTTAACATGTGTGTGGTACAAATGCTTTTCTCCCCTGCTAGGCTGCATTCCCAAGTGCAGAGCTGGATCTGCATTTACTCATCACTTTGTGTCTGTAACTGATCCAGTGTGTGGCATATTACTTGGCACTCAGTAATTGTTAAGTTGATATGTAAAAAACCGTGCCTGTGTTCTTAAGAGTCCTGTAACCCCTGGGAAGATGCTCTATGCGTTGTTAGTGTTCTGGAATAAAACAAGCACAACTTACGAGTTATTTTAAAGTTGAATAAACGCATAATAAAAACCAAACTGAATAGTAAATGAAATATTTTAGGGGGAATAATCATTGTAAACTTGTTTTCACTAGAGGAATAAAATTAGAGTTAGGATTGTGCAGAATTTAGAGATGTATTAATAAGCAGGATAGAATTTGAGGAAGTGGCATTACAATGTGGAAATGCTGTTGCTAGTTGACTTAATCCTATAATTTTGTACCTGTTCTGAGCCAGATAATATCCCATATTTTTGTGCATATAATCTCATTTAGCTCTCCCCATGACTCTGTGAAATACGTATTCATTTCCTAAAATAAATTGGCGCTGACTGAGGTTAAGTTACAGAATTAATAAATGCTGGTGCTTCACTGTTCTTCTCCCAGGGTTTGGTTCCGTTCCTAGACTATATCATCTGGCTTTCTGACCCCACATAACTGTTCTGCATATTTCATCATGCTGTTTCCCAACAGTATATCAGAAGTGCATGATTTGTGTTCTATTTAGGGTAAAGGAGATGTGAGTCAGTTTAAATTCTTACTACTTATGGTTTTAATTTTGACAAAATACTTATACTAGTCAATTTGTGAGTTGTTTAAAAAAAACAAATTGTTATAATTTACTATTTCTATATTGGAGGTGGAAGATGAGAGAAATTATCACTTGCACATGAGTGATTCACTGATTCACTCTACAAACATACACTATAATGTCTTGATTTAAATCAGTATACATGAGTAGGATAACGTGATAAATTCCAGAAACTTGTAAAATTATTCATTTTTCACAACAAAACGGATAGTAAAAAAGTTTATATAATGAGGTTATTGAATTTAGATATCATTCTTAATTTCAGGAAAGCTTGTGGCTGTTGCAGTTATTGATGAGAAAAATACATCCATTGAACATACCAGGTTAGTTGCCTTGAAATAGTTTTATTTATTTGTTTGTTTTTTGGTGCCGGGGATTGAACTCAGGTCCTTGAACTTGTAAGGTAGGCCACCGAACCGCTGAGCTAAATCCCCAGCCCCTTGAAGTAGTTTTAAACTTTTAAGTATTCTTCAGTTCAGACTTTACATGACTGTCAATAAACCTGATGTGGTATCTTTTCCTATAGTACTTAGATAAGATAGCATATATTTGAACTGAATAATTCTGTTATTTCAAGTGAAGAATTTAAATATTTATTTGTTTATTCTACAGATTAAAGTCAATTATTCAAGAAGTTGCTAAAGATTACAGAGACCACTTTCATAGGTAGGTGCTTGCATTCTGGAAGATTGCTTTATTTTTCTTAGTTACATTTTATAATAAAGCAAAAGGAATATAGGTTGTGTACCCTTAATCTGAAAATCTGAAATTCAGAATGCTCTAAAAATCTAAAACCTCTGACATGACTTACATAGAAGCTTCCTCCACAGCTGACCTCATGTGACAGGTACCAGTCAAAACACAGGCACATTTAAAGTATTGTAAGAAGTTATCTTCAAACTATGCATATTAGGTGTTTATAAAACATAGATGTGTCTCATGTTTAGATTTGTGTCCTGTTCCCAGGAGTTTAGGCATAATTTTTAAAAATCTGAAACACATCTGGTCCCCAGTATTTCAAATAAGGAATGCTCAGTATATATTTCATTCTATGCAAAGTGAATCAAGGAAATGAAGTACATGCTAGTGTCTTGCACTCCATCATGAATTGTCTGGGTCTTGAAATTCAGAGAAAAATAATAATACACTTTAGTTTATAATTTGTATCATTTCTGCTTCTTGATAGGATTCAAGAAAAGTTTTATAAAATTTTTATTCACAAATTTGAGATTAAATGAGGATCAGAAGTCAGAGATAAATGTTTGTAATAAGAACTCAATGAATAACCAGATATAAAAACGATGTTAGAAATACATACTTTTAGGGCCAGGGATTTAGCTCAGTGGCCCCATACCTGCTTTGCAAGTGAAAGATTGTGAGTTTGATCCCTTGTACAATAAATAAATAAATACTTTTGCTGTGTGCTAAAGCATTTTTAGTTGCTGCCATGAAAAACTGTGGTATAAATTTGTTACATTGTTGAATTATTAATCTTATTCCAAATTATCTAGGGAGTCAGTGTGCAGTTGTTATGGTGCATAGTGGGTGACATATTTTGAGTGATCCTATTGTTTTTAATAAATGGATAGTTCTTAAGCATGTTTCTATTGTAAAAGCTTCTATTTCACTGCATTATAAACATTTGTAATGAAGTAGAATTAGGAATTTGTTAATACTACACATGTATTTTTATCTCTTAAGGCAAGTAGAATTCACACTGTCTTGTTATATGTTGTACGTAATTTACATGAACTTACCAAACCCTGAAGTTGAATTTGTTGTATTATTTACCTTTTAAAAAACTTAACATTGTACTCTTCCCTCTCCTCTTGCCTTACCATGATTCATTAGGGATTTTCAGTTTGGCCATATGGATGGAAATGACTACATAAATACCTTGCTGATGGAGTAAGTGAAGTCCTGAATATTTTGCTGTCAACTTTTATCATTTTTTAAGTATCTGTTTCTGAGAGATGGGCAGAAGGATTAAATAGTTGAAAAGAACATATAGTTGGTATATTCTGTGGAAAACATTTTTCCATTAAATATTTTAGTTTAGTTTTGGATGTATTTGAAGCTTACTAAATTTTAATATTGTTACTCAAAACAAAGTGGGAAATTCATTGTTAATACAATTTCTCTCCATTGCCATTGGAATTACATTGCTTATTTGTATAAGGTATATTTCTGGCCTATCATAAGCGTAGGCGAAATGGATATTCTTTATAATATCATAATGAGGACACTCTAATACAGTGCATTCTTAATAGAAGTTTTACAGTGTATATGATAGGGAATTTAGCCATTTCTTATGTCCTTTATAATATACTGTCAGTATACTGATTCAGTAAAACAGCATTTGCAAGAGACCAAAGCCATTTTGGTCCAGTAACTCATAATTCAAGATATCCAGTATGTGTAGTGATAGATGAACTTTCCTTTGTTATTATTACTGTAATTTGAGTGGTGGTACTGTAAAAAGTATGAGGTAAAATTATGGTGAGAAAAATGCCCTTTATTTAAATTATTAGGTTGGAAGGGGTTTTAATGTCCTAAAATGTGATCTATTTGGTAACTGCTAAGTATACTTGCAAATATGTATGTATTTTACTGTCATTGGCTACAGTGTCTATCGAGTATGACGGTGGTGTATGGGGAATTTAAAGTAGTATTTATTGAACCTGTGCTCTGGACACAGTACTATAATGGTATTTAGGTGGAATTTTCTCATGCAGTTTTTATACTGAGTATGTACTTTTTCCCTCTTTATAAAGGGAAAATTGTTGTATGTAAGAAGCTAAATTACTTGCTTAATAGCATCCTCCAATATTTGGGAGCAAGCCCCAGATTTAAAAGCTGTATGACTCTAGCAACCATCTTTTTTCCTGGTCTGTTACATGAAGTGGGACTCTGTATGATTAACACTGATAATAATTAAAGATTTGTGACAAGGAATAATGATACCTAAGAAATTAATACTTCACTACATTATAATTTCTATCCTTAAGTTCATGAATACTCAGCTCTTATTTGTCTATATATTAGAATACTTTCATTAATTTAACTAATTTTAAAACTAGTGTGAAATAAGTGTCAGAATTTTGCTATCTCTTTGTGTAATGTATATTTTGATTTCTTTGTTTTTGTATTTTCAGTGAGTTGACAGTTCCAACTGTGGTTGTACTGAATACTTCCAACCAACAATATTATTTGCTAGACAGACAAATTAACAACGCCAAAGACATGGTCAAATTTATTAATAACATTTTGGATGGTACAGTACAAGTGAGTAGTTCATTTGCAATTTAGAAGGATGAGGAAAACGAAAGAGAAACTGTTGCTTCTTGATTCGGAGAGCAATATTCAGCCATCACTCATTAGTTCTCTCGTGTTATAGACAGTCACTGTCTGTCATAGACAGACACAGAAGGTTCTGCTATGGCAGAAGTTGCTAAGGTGTTACTGAAAGGCTTTTATGGTTGATACAGTAATGGTAGAGGTGGTCCTACATTTGGAATTAAGTAGAGATATGAGGTTTACACTGTGGAGCTGATCTCCATAGTGAACTTTCCTACCACTTAATACATTTCTAGGTCTAAAAGGCTTTAGATTAAGTTATCAGGATTGGTTTTCTAAAGAGATATTCAAACACAATTTCTTAAGAGAGTAAGGACATACATTGAGAATCAGAGCGGTGGTAGAGAATTTTAAACAGTTAGGAGGTGTGACCAGAAGATTCAGTGATTATCTTTAAAAAAGAATTTAGTACAGTAAAGGACACATTGCCATTAATCTCCCTCAAAATTTTCCTATTTCCTTTGAACATACTTATCCTACTTTATGATACTTTCTTGCCGTTTTCTTTTTTTTTGAGATTTTATTTCTGGGCTCTTTATTTCTCCATTTTTTATTTTGAAATATTTTAAATGCAAAGAAATAGACACATGAATACCTAGATTGTCGTTGTGCACATTTCTCTGCATTTTCTTTCTCACTGTCACCTCTTTCTAAAGCAGTTCTGGAAGTTCTTTTTTATGAGTATCTTTAGTTGAGCTGTCCTACCAATCTCATTCTCCTGAACTGATTGAAAATGTTTACCTGTCATGGTCATTTTGACTTTGAGAAAGAGCCAGAAGGCACATGGTGCTAGATCCATTGAATAAGGGTGGATGAACGTATATTAAAGTGTTTTAATGAGCCTGCTTTTCTCTTAAACAGGCTATAGCAGAAACATTCACCCTTTTGTGATCACACCTCACAAAGGCATTCATAAAAGAGGACTTCAAGAAGTACATCAGAAATTGGCGAAATTGTTTTTTTTTTGTTGTTGTTGTTTTTTGTTTTTGTACCAGGGATCAAACTCAGGCCCTTGCACTTGCAAGGCAGGCGGTGGAACTATTGAGCCAAATCCCTGGCCCAGAAAGTGCCAAAAATGATGGGATATGTCTGTTTGAATGAAGGGAGGAGTATTTTAAGGGGCATTAATGGTAATTTAAATATTCACTGTATATTTTGGTCACAGCTCATAAAATATTTCTGAGAAGTAAGTTAACAAATAGCATTAATTTTCTGCTTTTTCTCCTATAAATTTGACTACAATTTTTCCAGTTGGTTTGCACCAATATAAAAGACTCACGCTATCCCTTCAGGTCACAACTAAGTTATGTAACTGGCATATATGTTAATTCAGCAAAATAAAATTTAAAAAGAAAATAAGAGACTTTCACAAAGTTTAACTATTTTTTGTGGGGGGGTACTCAAAACTTAATATACTGAGCTACATACATTCCCAGCTCTCTTATTTTTTTATTTTGATACAGGCTTTCCCTAAGTTGTGTAGACAAGGCTCAAACTTGCTGTTCTCCTGCCTCAGCATCACAGAGTATTGATTACTAGTTTGTGAGACTTTTCGTTCATATTTATACAAACTTCATTTGAGGCAGGCAGTGGAACCACTGAGCCAAATCCCCAGCCCTTACAAAGTTCATTTGAAAGAGTAACAAGAGTCTTAATCACTAATACCAATTTTTTTATATTTGTGGAAATAACTTTTTGGTTCAAACTAAACACCTGTGTGATTAAGAATTCTTCTGTTTTGTTAATTACTAAAATTTGACTCAGAGCTTTAATAACAAAGACATTCTATTGGTCCCTATAGCTTGGGATTCAAGCTTTAAATGAATTCTGATTTAACTGATTTTCATGAGAAATTTTTCTCTCTGCCATTCAGCACTCCTTATTGACCTTCATCTTCAGGTAGGCTCTCCCGACTACACAATAGTAAAGGTACCCTGCAGAAGCTCTGGCTTATCAGTCTCAGCTAAGCTCAAAAATTCTGAAGGCCTCAACTCAGGGTGGGTTAGTTTTTTCCAAGCTGCTTGTATTATGAGTAAGAGAAAAATTCTTCATTAGAAGAGAATCAGGGTAACAGAAGATGGTAGAAGAAATGTGGGACATTAAAAAAAAAAAACAGTAAATGTTGAACGTAGCTTTTCAGATGAGTTATATAATACTTTTTAGCCAGTCTTTATCCACAGTAATGAAATTATATAACCTAGAAAAATGAAGGGATGGTACTTAACAATTTCTTTTTCTTTTTACATTTAAGGCCCAAGGAGGTGATAGCATTTTTCAGAGATTAAAAAGAATAGTATTTGATGCCAAATCTTCTGTTCTGGTAAGTTGCGACAGTTTGTTTAGTGTAAGTGGTAATTTAAAAATATAGAGTTCCTTAGTCTAATGTAATGATGATAAAATCTAGACCAGTAATGGAGAACCTTCTAGAGACCATTGCCAAACTGCAATCCGAAATCCACTTATTTATTGTAAAGTGCCAAAACTGCATTTAAACCTGAGGTTTTAATGCTGAAGTCTTAGTTGAGATAAACTACATTAACATCTTTTGTCTTAAAAGAAGAACACAGTGACACGGGTGTCATAGGTTTTCCGTATCTAGACTTTCAAAGAATATGGTTGAAATAGGTCTTTTCATTTGAAAGATATGAACTAATCACTCCTTAAAACATATTTATCAGATAGAAATTGTTTCTCTATTTCCATATGATTGGTGAATTATTGAAATCAAAATCTTTTAACTTGATAATTACTTCAAAAACAACTTTATTTCTTTAATCTGTCTAAAAGTGTTATTTCTGTAATTTGATGAAAGAACAGATGACACCAAAGTTTTAGTACCATTGAGTTCGTCATTTTTCTTGAGGTAAATGATCTATCTTTTTTCTCAATTTTTTTTATATTGCGTTTATGGGTACATTTTAGGGAAATGATCTATCTTGACAAATTATTCTGTTTTGCCATAGTCGGAATAAAATTTTAGATCTCAAAGTTTTATACATCACTTTGAATTCCATGCTTTCCCCTGGTGGTAAATAACTAAGATTGTTTACAGATTTATTTCTTCCCCCTTCCCCTCCTCTCCTTTTCCTTCCTTTCTCTTGTTCTTCTTATTCTCCTTTTTCTTTAAAAAGCAAACTTTATATGTAGAATTAAAATATGGGCCAAAACCTTTCCAACAATATTTTATCTCATTTACTCACCTCAGTGTTTATTCATAGTTGTTATAGGAAAGTATAAAATACATATCACTTTAATTGGCATGTTTGCTTCTGAGTATACTGTTGGCATTCCTTTTATTATTTACACTTCCAAAATATGTGTCCTGAGCTTTTTTCACTCACCCCTCACTTGCATATCTCTGCCACTCTCATTTGCCCTTACTATTAAGGCTCTACAAACTACAGTAATAACAGACCTGGGCGCTATCACCTCTGGGTACCTTCAGAGGATGCTCTTTTCCTGTTGCTGTGATAATCATTACTCCCCTTGCTCTGCCTATTTCAGTGTTTTTCATTGTCTCTTTTCTCCTTTTGCCCTTTTAGTCCTTGTATCTGAATATTCTTGCTTGGAACTTTATTCCTTTTTTTCATTTGTAATACATGCAGTTTACAGTCATAATGGCAAGTGGGCACATATACATAATACTACTTTATTCCTTTTTTTAATCCCCTTTTCCTTCCCTTCTGCTTCTCTTCCATCTCTCCTAAATCCCCTTTCCCCATTTTCATTTTTTATATTATTTATCTTATGTTTATGACATATTGTTTATATTCATTTAGGTTATTAGCTTCCTGTACATGGCTTATCTTTATTCTACTTATTTCCCCTTCCCTTTTGTGTCTCCATTCACCCATGTTCTCTTGGACCCTTTCTCATTTGTAAAAGATATATCCCCTTGTCTCCTTCTACCCATTCTTTATTGTGCTTTTTGCTTGTAATTTTTGTTCTCAAATGAGAAACACTATACAATATTTAAAATTGTGTCTGATTTATTTCACTCAACTTTATATTTTCTAGGTGTATTCATTTTCCTACGTATGTGTCGCATTTGCCCTTCTTTGTAGCTGATTAGTATTCCATTATGTGCAGATACATTTTCTTTATCCAATCATCTTTTGATATATACACAGAGGTTTCTTCCAGGATTTAGCTATTACCAATTGTACTGCTATAAACATTGGTATGCATGCATTACTGTACTATGATGTCTTTAACTTTTGGGGAAGATACCTAGAAAAGGAATAGTTGGATCATATGGCATTTTTAATTTTAGAGTTGGAAATTCTAAGCAATTATTTTAAACTTTCAGTTTCAGCTCTCAAACACCTTAACAGTAGAGGCATTCTTAAATTTGTTTGAGCCCTTAACTTAGTTCCAGTGTTTGTCATGACTACCCCGTCAGCATTTTTGTTTCTTAGAGCTGGAAGAATTATGATAATATAGCTAGTTTTCTTAATTGATGAGAAGTAAATAATAACCTTTCACTTATCCTGTATAAGGTATCCTTAAATTTATTATTATTAGTGTTGTTTGTGTTCCTTTTGCCAACAACATGGATTGAGCCCTTAGACAAACCATGTCTACTTGCTTTGCTCCCTGTTATCTGATTTCCATACTTCCTCTTGCCAGGTCTCCACTTGATTCTGGATACCACCGCATAATTAATGTTACTAAAGTTACCAGTTTTGCTTTCTCTCCTTTGCTTTTCCAGTGATGCACATCAGAATGCTCTATCCAGCAAAAAATATTGTTTGTTTTTGAATATTGCACTAGAATTCCTGGAGCTCTTTGCTACTGCTTACATTATATCTTGTTCTATGTGCTCACTTCGGGAGCACATATGCTATATATTGTTCCATTTCTAGCTAATTCCTAAATTTCCATCTCAGGCTGTAACATTGTTTTGTGAAGCCAAAATGTCTTTTTGTCTTTTGAACTTACTTATATTGTTCTCAGAAATTTAGGCACAACCCTGTTCATTGCATTTAAAATATTTTCTTATGAGCTGAGGGAATAGCATATGAAAATGATTGAAATTAGTGGACTTTACTACTTACATAAAAAATGTTTAAAAATGTTGTGAAGAGAATATATATATATATATGTATAT